CACCCTCCCCTCAACGCTTTACGCAGCCAGAACAAAAGTGCTCACGAGGCAGACATTTCCTGAAAGCAGAAAACGCGTCTCCGAGGCCAGCGATGCCTGCGCAGGGACAAAAGCTTCAAAGCTCCCGACGTCTCCCTTCCCAACCATTCCGGTCAAGACCCACGGTCTCGTAACTGCTGCTGCCCAGCTGAATAAACGGCCGCTCGTGTTCACCAGCACGGAAATGCTCACACGGAACGGAGCCAAGTAGAAACCCACTAACGTCCACATCCTGACGTTAATTATAGCCCTGCTCGGCGGTAAACTCTGTTGAGATAAATTTCCCATGCTCGTGAGAGGAGACCCAACCGGCTGCAGCCAGCGGGATCACCACGGCTTGCCGTAAATCCCACGCCGGTACAGGACTCAGCCGTATTACCTGCTGCTCTAAGCACTGGCGTACGAGCTCTGGCACCGCATGATGCGTGCAGGGACACCCGCCAGCCTGGTGTCAGCAGACCGTTCATAAGGTCCCCTCTCAGCCTTCTCTTCTCCAGGCTGAACAAGCCCAGCTCCCTCAGCCTCTCCTCGTAGGAGAGATGCTCCAGTCCCCTCCTCATCCTCGTAGCCCTGCGCTGGACTCTCTCCAGTAGCTCCTCATCTTTCTTGAACTGGGGAGCCCAGCACTGGACACAGCACTGCAGATGGGGACTCACCAGGGCAGAGCAGAGGGGAAGGAGAACCTCCCTCGCCCTGCTGCCCACACTCCTCTTGATGCACCCCAGGATCCCATTGGCCTTCTTGGCAGCCAGGGCACACTGCTGGCTCATGGTCACCCTGTCGTCCCCCAGCACTCCCAGTCCCTCTCCACAGAGCTGCTCTCCAGCAGGGCCGCCCCAGCCTGTACTGGTGCCTGGGGTTGTGCCCCAGCCTGTACTGGTGCCTGGGGTTGTTCCTCCCCAGGTGCAGGACCCTGCCCTTGCCCTTGTTGAACCTCATCAGGTTCCTCTCTGCCCAACTCTCCAGCCTGTCCAGGTCTTGCTGGATGGCAGCACAGCCTGCTGGTGTACCCACCACTCCTCCCAGTTTGGTGTCATCAGCAAACTGGCTGAGGGGACACTCTAACTCTTCATCCAGGTTATGATGAAGCTGTCCCAAAGGCGCTGGCTCTGCACGTGCGCCATAATTGCACAAGCATCTGTCGCGGGAATTTGCTGTTTTCGAAGGGGCAGAAGGACGCGGTGAGGTCAGCCTTACAGACGCAGTCCCGAGTGAAAGCACGGCCGCGCTCCGAGAGCCGTGCAGCCCCTGTCCCCCGGCCTCCCCCACCACCCATCCCTAAGCAACCACACTTTTGCTGGTTCCGTGTTCCAGATGCCGCTTCCCACCTCCTC